TTATGTAAAACATGTACTTTTTCTATAATCCTTATTTTTTTTTTAGAATCCAGTATTTTTTTAGAATGTCAACAAACTACTAGCATTCCATATACTAAATCATTCATTAGCTTGATTGAGATATAATTTTTGTTTGCTTTGGTTTTGGAGACAGAGTTTTTCTGTGTAGCCCTGGCTATTCTGGAACTCACTTTGTACACCAGGCTGGACTCGAACTCACAGAGATCCACCTGCCTCTGCCTCCTGAGTGCTGGCATGTGCCACCACCACCCAGCAAAGTATAATTTTTTTTTTTTAACATAAAGGCCTGTAATCCCAGATACTCAAGGGGCATAGGCAGAAGAATTGAAAGTTCAAGGCTTGCCTAAGCTACAGTGAGTAAAACCCTGTCCTGTCTTGATCCCCCTAATTTTTATTACATTTATTTACTTATTTATTTATTTATTGTATGCCATGGGGAGATTATAAAAGCCAGAGCTCCTTCTACAACATGGGATCAAACTCAGGTCATGATTTACTCACTGAGCCCTCAATTCTCTCTCTCTCTCTCACACACACACACACACACACACACACACACACACCAAATGAGAAAAACCAAAACCAAATGACTTCCTCAAAGTTATTTGGTCAAATCAGGAGGGATCTGAACAACTGGTTCTTTCTTTTCAAACACTAGCCACAATCAAACTATCCTCGGGAATGAGCAGACCAAAACGGGAAAACCATTCCCCACTTCCTTTCTTCAGCTGTCAAAGCAGAGAAAAATTGGTTGAAATGGCAAAACAGAACTTCAAATAGTAAAATTTCAGTAGAGTGCTCAGTTAGCCTTAACTGCATGCAGCATTTCTCTCAAGGGTTCCTGTTGTAATGATTGGCAGAGGTCAGTGGCTCTACCATGCTGTCAAATGAAGGGACCATAAAGTTATTAAGATGTTTTCAGACCAGCACTTTATATCTATCTGCTTCTATTAGCAGCTCAAGTCCATTCTCCTTTAAAGGACCTGTCGGGCTGGAAGTACTCTGAGCTCTGAAATTCCTCTAGTCAGAGGGTCATAAATAAGATCAAAGTTTTCTCCAGAAAAGAGGGTATGTCAACACTGCAGGTAAAAGTGATAAGAAAGAAGCATTCCTCAAGCTGTGAAGAAGGACTTCAAGGAAGGGGAGCTCACATCTTGAATACCTCTCCCTTTCTCTTCTTTTTTAACTCTCAGCCGCCCAAAGGGGATTGAAGCCAAGGCCTCACACATGCTAAGTGAGAACTCTCTAATACTGAATTATAGCCCCAGGCTTTTAAAAAATGTATTGATCCTTTTTATTTATGTGCAGATGTGTATCTGTGTGTGTTCATGCATGCATGTGCTATACATGTGAAGGTACTTTAGGCCAGAGGACTTGGGGTCCCCTAAAAAATGTTACAAGCAGTTGTGAGCCTCCCTATGTGGGTGCTGGGAGTCAAAATCAGGTCCTCTGGAAGGGCAGCAAATGCTCTTACTGCTGAGCCATTTCTCCAGTTTCTAGTTTGTTTTGGGATATAGAGTCTCACTAAGTTGTGATATACTCTGGGAGTAGTGATGTCTCCTAGCCCTGGAGCACACAGTCATAAGGACTACAAAGTGAGTCAAAAGCAATGACTGGGAGGGTGCAGGGTGAGAGGGATATCTGGGAGGAAGTTCAGGTCTGCCACTTTCCATGTACCAGAAAAACAGACCTGTCACTATTTGGAAATGTACTAGATTGAACAATGGTCGATACCCTGCCTACAAGATAAAATTTCATATGGTTCAACTTTATGTTCTTTAGGTGGCTTGATATAGTGGCACACACTTTTAATCATAGCACTCAGGAGGTAGAGACAGGCAGATGTCTGTTGGGTTCTGGGACAGTCTGGCCTATACAGAGACTCTGTCTCAAAATAAAAAATAAAAATAATCTTTTGTATGTGTATGGGTGTTTTGCCTACACCCATGTCTGTGCACTATGCATGTGCATACCTGGTGCCTGCAGAGGCCAGAAGAGGGTGATAGATCTCCTAGAATCAGAGTTACAATAGTTGTGAGCTGTCATGTATCTACTGGGAATTGAACTCAGGTCCTCTAGAACAACCAGTGCTTGTAATCACTAAGCTATCTCTCCAACCCTCTAAGCTCTTTTTTTTTAAAGTTTTTGAGACAGGGTCTATGTAGTCCCGGCTGTCCTGGAACTCACTATTGTCTCACTGTGTAGACAAGGCTGACCTCAAACTCACTGAGATCCTCCTGCTTCAGCCTCCTAAGTGCTGGAATTAAAGGCATGTACCACAATACACAACTTAAGATCATTTTTATAACCATCGCAATAAGGTTTTTATATCCAAAGGCACATAAACCCTTGAATTCTCTAGACTGCCTCCTCACCCTCTGGGAAAACTCACCACGGCACAGTTAAGCTAGACATTTGAAAAATGAAGTTCATTAACAAGGAGGGCATGGAAGGGGCTGGTGAGATGGCTCGGCAACGAACAGCACTTGCTGCTCTTGGGGAGGAACCAGGTTTGGTTCCTAGCATCAACATGGTGGCTGTAACTGCAACCATCTGTAACTTCAGTTCCGGGAATCCGATGCCCTCTTCTGGTCTTCAGACGCATTGCATGCATGTGGTGCACAGCCATACATGCAAGCAAGACATCCATACACATAAAACATAAATCTCTTCCTAAAAAGCAAGATAAATAAAACAGCCAAATAGCTAAATGTAACTGTGGCTATGTGACTCCTAAGATTCCTCCTTTTTACTGATTCTCCCCATCTCTTCTTCTTGTTTACAGTGCTAGGTAACAAACCCCGGACCTTGCACAATGCTAGGTGGTACTCTATCACCCAGCCACATCCCAGCCCAGCTGTTCCTATTCTCTACCAACACACTTTGAATCCACAAGAGATCTGCTCTTATACTTCTAAGAAGCTACTAATGAAATCCCAAGTGTTTCGTCTTGCAGTGACACAGGATTTGGGATCCTAAGCATGGTGGTAATACAGGGGATTCACTGACCTAAAATCTACTATTGAGGAATATGAAGTCTGTAAGTTTAATTTCTGTTGGAGAGTCTGGCTTCTACCCTTATCAAAAGGTGATCACCATGGAGATACGGGGGATATACAGACACAGACCAGAGACACCTGTCACTTTCACAAAAGGTAAAAAAACGAAGATCTGGCTGGGAGATGCCTCTAGGTTTAAACCCATCAATTTACACCCATTTTATGAGAATCTAATGTCCTATTCGCTAATGAGCTCTCTTCTCAATTAATTCCACTAATTAGTTATCTATTCTTGTGCAGCCAGAATTCCTGTCCTTTTACTTAGCAAGCTTAACAAGCCACAATAATTATACATCCCTAGTGGGGTGGCTGCTCACCAAGTCAGTCAGGACAATCTCATGTTGGCTCTTCCAGCTTCCCAGATGAGGCTGACAGTATGAAACACCAACATTTAACCATCAAGTGAAACAAGCTTTAAAAGAATAATCAGAGGAGAACCTCCCACTCTCTCTCTGGATATTTCTCTGCCAGTTCAGAGTTGCCAGGTCACCAGGGAATAGCAGCAGCATTTACTACTACGATCTCAAAGGCACTTCCCCACGGCGGCACCCATCTCAACCACCCAGAATTCTCGCAATCGGCCCCACCCCCAACAGCATCTTCTCATTTTTCACCATGGGCTGAAGTTTTCTCCAGAACTCCAAGACCACACTAAGGCAGACAGGTCGCATTCCTTAAACCTTTTCCCTTCTGTCCCCCAAACTACCTGTAACAGCAGGTTTTTATTTATTTATTTCGAAGACTCTGGGCGTCCGCTATGGAGATAAAAGCTTCAAAGGGCATTTATGGGCCTCCAGTCTTTAAAACCTGATGAGGCTGGGATTCGCAGCCCCATTTTACGGAGGAGAGAAGCTAAGGGCCCAAGGTCATACAGGACATCTGACCTCAGTGTCCTCTGCCCTTAACCCTCCCGCTGCCGCTGCCTTCTCATCAGCTTCCCTCCTGTTCCGGGAAGGGCTCGTTTTCCTCCCCAGGCCATCTCCCCCTCCACAGGGCGGGCCTTGGAGGAGAATCGCTACCCATTCCGTTTCTTCTCTGCGCGCCCCCCTCCCTCCCACCTGGCACCGTTCCCCCAAGGCCCCTGTCACAGCACCTCCTCCAGGGCCAATTCAAACTTCCCATCGGTCCCCAGAGCAGGTCCGGTCCGCTACGAGGAGCCGTGGGCGAGCAGCGGGCGAGCAGCGGGCAAGCAGCGGGCAAGCAGCGGGCTCGGGGAAGGCGGAGGGGGAGGGGAAAGGGGCGCGCAGCCCGCAGCCCCGCCGGGTCTGGGCAGCGGCAACGCGCGGCCGCGGGGGGCGCGGGCGGCTGCGTCAGGGAGGAGGCCGCGCGTGCGGGCAAGCTGCGGGGCGGCGCGGCAGGAAACGGCGAGTCACGGAGCGCGGGGCCGGCCGGGGCGGCGGCGCGGGCCGCGGCGGGAAGGGGCGTGGGGTGGCCGCGGGGTCGCCTTCCTACCTATGCCGGGCGCCACATAGACGAAGTAGAGCAGCGAAGACGACAGCGAGAAGAAGAAGAGCGCGGCGAGCAGCGAGCGGCGCGGCAGCCGCAGCAGCCCCCGGCGGGCGCGCATGCTGAGCCGGCGGCCGCTCGAGGGCCGGCCCGGGCCCCGCTCCCGCCGCTCCGGTCCGCCGCCTGGGCCTCGGCCGCCGCCTTCCGGGCTTCGCGCGCCGCCGCCTCGCCGCTTTCAGCCGCCGGCCGCCGCGGGCCGGGCCACATGAGGCGGGAGGGGGCCGGCGGCCAGAGGAGCGCAGCGGCGGGGGCGGGGCAGGAGGGGCGGGGCCTGGTGGGAGGGGCGGGGTCTGATGCCGGGGGTGGGCGGGGGCAAGGCCCGCTGCCTGAGGAGCCGATGGGGGAACCAGGCCTGAGGCAGGCCTGACGGGGACCGGAGTAGGGCGTGGCCTACGGTGGGGGCGGGACGAGGGCGGGGCCTGATGCTAAGGGCGCCGCCGCGAGCCTGAGGAGCACACCGGCAGAGACCCGGCCTGAGGTCTGATGGGGAGGGGGATAAGGGCGGGGTCTGAGGAAGAAGGACGTAGCCGCGAGCCTAAGAAGCATTTCGGCGGAGACTGGGCCTGAGGCCTGACGGGGCGGGGGAGAGAAGGGCGCGGCCTGGTGCAAGGGGCGGGGCTGGGCGGGGCCGGCAGTCGTGGGGTGGGGCTGGAGGCGGGGCCTGGATGTGGGGGCGGGGCGGGCGGGGGACCGCGCGCTTGCACTCTAGCCGCAAGACCCTCGCGCGGCCGCCGCCCATGCTGGCAGGAAGCGTTTTGCTAGTACGAGTTGGTTCCGGGCGCAAGCACCCAGCGCGAGGGCCGAGGGGTAGTGGACAGAGTCTGAATGACCAGGTAGCCCGCTGCCGCAGGAGAGCAAGGATGCAGAGGCCGGGGCACTGGTGTTCGCCCTCCTTCATTCATTCATTCCAGTCACCATTTATGATAAAGTGCCAGTTATGGTTCCTGGGGCTGGGGATGCTCCACGGGGCAAAAAAGATAAAAATCTGTCTTCTAGGAACCTGCATTCATGTGGAGGAGAAAAAAGAAATCGATAATAGCAGGTGATGATAAGAGATATGAAGACAACTGAACATGAGAATGTTTTGGATGCGGTCTGCACTAGTCCAAAAAGGCCTCCCTCTGTAGGTAGCATGGACACAAAAGAGAAAGAGAAGGCCCACCAAGGAGAACAACAGATGCAAAAGCCCGAAAGGAAGAAGAGGCTTAATCTGCCGGCAGAGTGAATCCAACGCCAGCATGGATAAAATGCCAGGAAGGAAGGAGAGATCCAAACAAGGTCACATCCTACAGGACAGAACAATGGTAACAACTGCCAGTGTAGACGCTGAGAGGCAGGGCTTCTTACCCATTAACCTGCTCTAAGTCCTAAGGTAGTGCCTTTTTTTTGTCCCGATTGCACTAATGAGAAAACGGAAGTTTCTGCAAAGAGAAGCAAGTCATCCAAGCTATGCAGTAAGGACGCCAATCAAAAGTGGCCTGTCACCCCGACTGCTCGTTCTGCACTGCCACGTGTTCCTCTGCACCCTGGCTCTCCTATCATTTGTGTATTCCTTTTGGTTTCCCAGGTCAGAGCTCCACAAGGACAGGGATTTTGTTCCATTTTCTGCTGTGTCTGTGCACATAACTCAGAGTCCGGTACCCAAACGAGCAGCAGATGTAGTCAGAGCACCTGCCAGGACCAGAGGAAACAGATGGCTAGTTCTTGAAGTCTCAGAGCAGGCTCCACCTGAAGTACGTGAGCTCAGGCAGAATTCCTCAGAACCCTCAGTGAGAGGGAACCAGTCACGGTGACACGTTAGGCTGACTTCCACACCTGAACACCAGTACACGTACACACAAATAAGTAAGTAAATGTTATAAAATTAAACTGGAACACACTGAGTGGGTCTGCAAGGGGTGAGAAGGGTTGTTTCTGGATGAAGCATCTGGTCCTGGTAAAGGCCCTAGCTCTGGCTCAACAGGATCCTAAAGACATCTAGTCCAGACTCTTCCTTTTTTTTCCTCTTTCATCCTGAGGAGTTGCTACGCCTCTGACCTCTGTTTGTAAAGCGGCACCTTCCCCGTTCCTCCATGCTGATGTTCCGCCATGAGAATTCATGACAGGGACTCTGTAAAGTGTTCAGCCTGTAATAGATACTTAAGCAATTTGAACCATTCCTATCCTTTTTTTAAAAAAATGATTTGTTTAAATTTATTTTATGTACATTGGCGTGAGGGTGTCAGATCCCCTGGAACTGGAGTTATAGACAGTTGTGAGCTGCCATGTGGGTGCTGGGAATTGAACCCAGGTCCTCTGGAAGAGCAGCCAGTGCTCTTAACTGCTGAACCATCTCTCCAGCCCCTGCTAGTCTTAATATAGAGAATGCAAGAGCAACATGGGCTACATGAGACCCCATATCAAAGAAAAAAATCACAAGTAGCAATGTGCCCTGTTCTTCCCTCAAACTCCTGGGAAGATTCCATATGCCTCCCCTGAGGAGGCCATTGCACAATACATAAACATTGAGGAGTGAGATAGCATCTCTGGGCGGGACTACTCAATTCCAACTTCTGAAGGCAGAGAAAACCAATGCCTCTAAGGACACACCAGGTCCAGCCATTGAGTGTTTCCTCCAGCCTATGTAAACTGAATTTAGTTGGCTGGGAAGTTCCCTGTGGTCAGTCACCCCTTTCAACAGAAACGAAACTCAAAAGTGAAAAGGAAGGTTAGCACTTGGGCCAGCAGCTTTGAGAACTGGTAAATCCTCAGGGTGGCACCAGCCTATAATCCCAGCACTTCAGAAATGGAGGCCAGTCCTGGGGCTATCAACCTCAACACAGCCTAGTCTATCCTAACTGATCAGGATTATGCTACACTTCTTCATTCCCGTTTTAAAAGATTTGTTTAATTCTAATTATGTGTATGTGGAGGGGGATGGTATGTGCTCAGGAGTGCAGGTGCCTGCTGAGGCCAGAAGAGGAAATCAGATCCTTCTGAAGCTGGAGTTACAGGCAGTCCAGAGGCAAGGGGGTTAGCCCAAGTCCAAGGCCAGCCAGGGCCACACAACAAAGCAGTTTCCAAAATGAGCAACCAGGTTAGGAAGGGCAGTCCTGTGCTCGCCTTCCCAGAACCCACATCAAAGCTGGATGCATAGCCCAAGTGTCTGTCTGTAATGCCAGTGCTCCTGTGGGAAGATGGGAGGCAAAGACAGAAGAATCCTTAGAATCACAAGCCAGCTAGCTCACACACACAAAGAGGGATGAACGAATACATGCACACATACATGCATGGACACACACATACCCACACACATACATACAGGAATGAATACACACATAATGCACATAACCACACACATACATATATACACACACGCCATTCGAGCACACACAAATACAAAAAAAAAATCAATAACAAAACCCTCTTATTTGTTTAGGGTGTAGGGGGAGCACTGCTGAAATGGTCTCATGTAGCCCCAGCTGGCCTGAAACTCTCTCTGTAGTAGTGGGTGACCTTGAACTTCTGGTCCTTGGGCCAGAGACACAGCACAGCTGGTAAGGACATTCAGGTCCTGCATGGTGGATGAATAGAACTGATTCCTAAGCCGGGCTGTGGTGGCACACACCTTTAATCCCAGCACTTGGGAGTTCGAGGCCAGCCTGGGCTACAGAGTGAGTTCCAGGAAAGGTTCCAGAGCTACACAGAGAAACTCTGTCTCAAAAAAAAAGAAAAGAAAGGGAAAAGGATTCCTGCAAGTTGTCCTCAGATCTGCACTGTTTTATCATGGCACATGTGCGCACACACACAATAAAAATAAATGTAACTTTTCAAATATTTAAGAAATTTTATTTCAATTTTATTTCATGTGTATGGGTGTTTTGCCTGCATGTCTGTACGTCACATCTGTGCAGTGTCCATGGAGGTCAGGAGAAGATGTTGAATCCTCTGGGAACTGGAGTTACAGGTAGCTGTGAGCCACCGTGTGGGTGCTGGGAACTGAACCTGGGTCTTCTGCAAAGGCAGCATGTGCTCTTAACTGCTGAGCCATCTCCCAAGGCCCAAAGACAGAGCTGTTTCTGTGAAGTGTCACGCCTCTCTTCCTGAACCAATCACTCACTAACGAAGCAGTGTGTGCTGCTTGGCCAGACCTTGTCAGATGCCCAGGCTGGAGGGCCCTGTCAACTTCACAGGAAGCACATGGCTGATAAACAGGAAGTGTGGCTCTCCAAAGAGGGAGATACAATTGCTCTGGCAGAAGTAGCAGGTGACAGCAGACACCTGGGAAGCAGTCCTTCACCGTCTTTAATACTCCTCTTATGGTGCTTGGAAACACTATGTCCTCTTTCCCCGCCTCATCCACTAAGACCCAGTTCAAATACCTTTCCCACCAGGCAATGTCTCAGAATTGAAGTGCTGGATTCTAGTTATGTTGTAAAACTTTCTCTCTCTCTCTCTCTCTCTCTCTCTCTCTCTCTCTCTCTCTCTCTCTCTGTGCGCGTGCGCGCAGGTGCCTTTATCCCCCCTCAGCCATCCCTTGGGCCCAGGAGTTCTTGAATGAATGCTCTCAGGCTCCATTCTTTTCTCCTCCACTAGAGGAGACTCAAAAGTTTCCCATGGTGTACCCGACTCCCCTGCAGCTAGAATGTGAATGAAATCCTTTTGTTATTCTAGATTTCTGATACACGGTCTCACTTTGTAGCCCAGGCTTTCCTGGAACTCACTATGTAGCTCAGATTGGTCATGAACTCAGCAATCCTTCTGCCTCAGCATCTGAGTGCAGGCTGTCATGCAAATGAGGTCCTGTCAGTGAGATCTTTAGAGGCCTCTTCCTGTGGCTGTAGCAGCTGACTAGCCAATCCTGGTAGAGGGAGAGGCACGAGACTGACTGTCCACTCTCTGGTTCCCAGTTTGGAGGGTGTTGGGTGACAGGGCCTCAGCCGTGGTGATAGCAGAGACAACGGTGGTTTGGCCATGACCCACTTCGTATCTTCCTGATGGTTCTGTAAGTATCTGTGTCCCACTGTTAAACCCCTTTTTGACTAATGTTAGTGGAGTGGCTTTCACCAACTGAACGAAGCCCTGAGCAAATCCTCCTGTGTAGGGGCTGGGATGTGGCTTATTGAAAAGCCATTGCCTGACAGAGCACTTCAAACACTTCAAAAATGAACAGAAACCCCTAGGTAGGGTAACTCCAGGCACCTCGGAGTGCCACACAGGTAGGATGTACTCTCTGAGACAGTAGTGTCTGAGTCATAAATGAGAACTCACAGTAGGTTGCAGCAGCGCATGCTGTATATAATCCCAGCATTAGGGAGGTGGATGAAAGAGGATCAGAAATTCGAGGTCATCCTCAGCTACATAATGAATTCAATACCAGGAAGGACAACATGAAACCCTGAGGCCAGGCAGCACTGCAACGCCTTTAATCCCAACACTCGGGAGGCAGAGCCAGGCGGATCTCTGTGAGTTCGAGGCCAGCCTGGGCTACAGAGCAAGATCCAGGACAGGCACCGAAACTACACAGAGAAACCCTGTCTCAAAAAAAAAGAAAAGAAAAGAAAAAAGAAAGAAAGAAAGAAAAATAAGCAGCGCATGGTAGAACACACCTTTAATCCCAGCACTTGGGAGAAAGAGCCAGAGGAGGAGCTATGTGGGTTCCAGGCCAGGTCTACATAGCAAACACACCAAGTTCCGGGACAGCCAGGGCTATATGGAGAAACCTTAGCTAAAAAAAAAAAAGATGAGCAGGAAACAATCCGATGAATAATGAGCTCCCTGCTTAATCTATCTAACAATGGCTTGAGGAAAGCACTTTTTCCCCCTTGTTTACAGAGGAGGAGCTGAAGTGCAGAGGGGTTACGGAACCTGCATGAGCTCACACTGCCAATTTTCCATGAACTGGGTTAATCTGTGGTTCCGCTCCATGAGTCTGTTTCATCCTTGCCCCCTAGTGCCTAGGCAAGCACTTTGCACACCCTAAATGCTTGTTAAATATTGGTTGAATGAATGAGTGAATGGTCTGAGTTCAACAGAGTCTGCTGTGATAACAGGAAATAAAAACAACAAAATCCAATCGGTAGAACTACATTTTCAGGTGATATCCACCCCCAGCCCCACAAACCAGAGCATGTGGAACAAACTTTGTAGAGAAGAGAATAAACGCTTTGGTTTTACAAGCCATATAATCTCTGTCCCAACCACTCAACTGCCACGGAGTGTATAGGTAACAAATGTGCATGAGTGTATGCCAATACAACTTTATTTACAACCTTTGGTTCCTGTACTCAGAATGAGTCTTATTTCATAGAGCTGTTTCCTCTAGAGATTGTACTTAGTTAAATCAAAAGCCCATGCCAGGCCCAAGTCCTCTCTTCCCACTGCCTGCTGGTCTGGATGTAGAACTCTCAGCTCCTTCTCCAGCACTATGTCCACCTTCATGCCAACATGCTCCCCACCATGACGATAATGGACTAACCTGAAACTGTAACCAAGACCCCAATTAAATGCTTTCTTTGATATGAGTTGCCTTGCTTAAGGTGTCTCTCAGAGCTATAGAACAGTGCCTGTGACACTTCAAATATCCCAAGGTTTGAATGCAGGCAGGAACTTAGCCCACATTCCAGCATTCTACACAGATGAAGGGATCCAGCAAACATTCCTTGATTCTGCCAAGCGGAGAAGGAATCCCTGCAAACATCCATTAGTGCCACCCAAAGATGGCTCCTGAAGGCTCCTGCAGCTGCCCAGAAAAGAGAGGAACTAGCCCTCGGGGTTTTGTGGGCTCTGGCCAGTTGGGCAGATCTTGCCCAATGATGAAAAGCCAGTGGCCAGGCAGTCTCACCAACAGATGCACTGGGTAAAACACAGTTTAAAGCCGGGCGGCGGTGGTGCATGCCTTTAATCCCAGCACTTGGGAGGCAGAGGCAGGCGGATCTTTGTGAGTTCGAGGCCAGCCTGGTCTACAGAGCGAGATCCAGGAAAGGCGCAAAGCTACACAGAGAAACCCTGTCTCGAAAAACCAAAATAAATAAATAAAAATAAAAAATAAAAACACAGTTTAGAGGGCCAGTAAGATGGCCCACCAGGTGACGCTGCTTGCTGGCAGGCCTTACTACCTGAGTTTGACTCCCAAGAACCTCATGATGGAAGGAGAAAACCAACTTCTTTTTTTAAGGTAATATTTATTTATTCATTTAATGTTATGTGTGTTGGTACTTGGCCTGAGTGTATGTCTGTGTGAGGGAGTCAGATCCACTAAAACTTGAGTTACAGACATTTGTGAGATGCCATGTGGGTGCTGGGAATTGAACCCAGGTCCTTTGGAAGAGCAGTCAGTGCTCTTAACTAACGAGCCATGTCTTCAACCCCCAAAACCAACTTCTTATAGTTGTCCTCTGACCTCTACACACATGCTGTGGCATGTGCACACTGTATACCCTGCACACATAGACACAGACACACACACACATGAGTTTAAGAAAACAAACAAACCATAGTTTATAAAAATGCCAATTATAACTGAAAAGGTGGTCACCCATACCTATAATTTCTAGCACTTGGTAGGTGGAGGCAGGAGGCCCAAGTTCAAGATCATTCTCTGACACACAGTGAGTTCAAGGTCAGAGTAGGATACAAGAGAGCCATTTCAAAAAAAAGAAAAGATGCTTGAGACCTGGTTTCGATGTACTAAAGAAGCAGAGCCCTTGCCTAGCATGAACGAGGCCTTCATCTTAATCCAGTGCCATAAAAAGAAGAAATAAAAGCAGATGCTTATTCAAAGCATAGTGGCACATACCTTTTGTCCTAGCACTCAGGAGGTAGGGAGGTAGAGGCAGGTGGATCTCTGTGAGTTTGAAGCTGGACTGGTCTATATAGCAAGTTCCAGGCCAGCCGGGGTTACGTAGTGAAACCCTGCATCAAATAAACAAATAACAACACAAACAAAACAAACCCACAGATGCTTGAGATCCAAACAACAATATTGATTCCAAAGGAGAAAACACAAAATTGAAATTAGCCAGTGACCAATTAAAATGTCTAGGGGGGAAATGTATTAGATCAACTAGCCATGTGCCACTGACCTCAGACGGTCCCATGTATCAAGGGGGCCCTATGGAGGGAAGTGATTTTCCTAGGCTTTATAGGATATGGAAGGGGCTTGAAAGCCGTTCGAGGACCCTGGGCAGCTCCTGAAATGGCTCCAAGTCGGGGAATTGCTAGAAACTCGTATGGGAAAACTCTGCCAGCTGCCGGCTGCAGCTGCTGTGGTATCCCCTCCTCAGCAGAGGGTACAGCTATCCCGGACCCCCTCCTGAGCAGGGTTCGGCTATACTCACCCTGACTCTCAAGAGATGGACAGAATTCAGATGTCACTGTCTGAGGAAAGGCCACAAGTAGAAGCCACAGGCATTGTGCTGTGACAGGTGTCATGGAAACAGTGTCACTGGCTCAGGAAGGGGTAACAGCTGTGTCAGCTTCCTTCCAGAACTGCAGGCTCCCCAAGAGTCTCTGGGGAGAGCCTTGAGCCAGTCACACCCCAGAACTGGGACAAGAGAAGGAGCCATGGTTGCCACTAAGCCCCAGGTAGGAAGAGAGACAGTGCGTAAGGACCGGGGAGGGGTGGGGATCTAGGCTCTTCCTTTCTCCTTCTCTACATTTATTTACTTATTTTATGGACAGGGGGAGGTTGAGATATGCCTCATCACACTTATGAAGGTCAGAGGACAATTTGTGGGTGACTGTTCTCTCCTTCCATCATATGGGTCCCAGCTTTTAAAACAGGATTGAACTCAAGTTCGCAGCAAGCATCTTAACCCACTGAACAGCCTTTCCAG